ATGTTGGATTATAGTCATCTATCGATGACGTCAGCGCGACTCTTCAATATGAAAGTTGAAGCATTGAGTGATTGAGGGCTGGGCAGAAGCTCTTCACTGAAAAATCTAAACAGCATATACATTTAGAGTATATTTAATACACATGAAGGTACCTTGCATGCTGCTACTATGCAACTTGAATGCAACTAATCTAGAGCTAATCTATGAAGTATTGCTTGGCTCACAATTCCGACAATTGCAATCTAGCCTAATCAGCTAAGCTTGAGCTCTGGACAGAGAGCCAAGAGACTGTAAGATTGGAAGCTTACCCCTAAATGATCCCTGCTTGACTTTCAAAGAACAGGAAGAATGGCCTTTCTCCTGCCTCCAACTGTGCTTGAGTTGGTTTTTGGCAGCTGGAGAATTGGAAAGAACTTCATGAATATTCTTCAGTCACGAATCTTCCAGCAAGCTCTTCATTAGCACATCAGTGGAAAGGCTGCAAGATTGATCCACGATTGTCCGATTGAACAAACTTATAGGAACTTAAAGTTATGGTTTAGCAAAAGAGCATAGCATGCATGTTTAGGCCCAGCTTGCAGACCTAGAATTCGAGCTGCAACCTGTCTACGCTGCAACCAGCTGATCAGCCCATAGATTTCATATGAGACATTTCACCTGCTTTAAAGGACCGGCCCAATGCAATCAAGCTCACCTCTGAACATACTTTCGAGTGTTTCCGACTTGTCATCCTGCAAGCCCCCTGCAAGCTCTCGCCGGCTTGCGCAGACCCGAACTTGCTGCCGCGGCATTGCTTGATCCTCCACTTTTCACCTCACTGGACGCTCAACATGGCGCAGGTGCTTGATATGCTGCGCTTCTTGAAAACTAGGTAAGGAGTAGTTAGGCGCCTTCGTCATGATGTCCTTGTGATAAGTATTCTGCCTTGAACTCTGTTCACAGTTTTGAAATGGGTGACCGTTGTTTCTCAAGGTCAGAGTAGAATCCGTGGAACCGTCGATGGTCTGATGTCCTGCCATACGGAGCCTCCGATTAGCCACGTGATTAAATTCGACAAGGCAGTTACCGGTGAACACCTGACGCACACAGTACTGAGGTACCTAGCTACTGGTCTGGTACCGGCGACTGTGGTGTACAACCGGGCGCCGCGCAGCCCGCTTCCGCACGGCCAGCAGCCAGCGCGGGGCAGCAGGGCCGGTTTGGACCGACGCTCGCGGTACTGATTTCTTGCCCAGCGCCTACGCGAGGTGCGCCAGCCATGCGCTTCATGTGCGCGTTGGGTGCTCTTTCAATGTCAGTTCTGAAACCCATGCCTTGGATGTGTCTAAGCTTTGTGCAAAGCGTGTACCTCACGTGTACTGTGCAGCCCTGGTACAGGCCGTGTACAGTATGTTTGTACTGTACCCATGTCACATTCCTCGTGCCCAAGTTGTACACAAGTCGTACACGACCACGATGTGTATGGCTCTGATACCAGAATGTACCATATCCACACCTCGGGGAGTTTCGTGACGAAAATGGAGGAATTTTGGCCATGCGGCATTCTGAGTGGGACCAACCAGTTTTCAGCAATCTTGAAAAGGTGCAAATGTAGTAAGAAGTGTCCAGACTCACTCGATAATAAGGATACTGTTGTCACTAGTGAACGATTGTCACTAGCTTCACCTGTTAAGGTGGTAATTGACGGTATTCAACAGTGGAGCAATTTCAAAACCCTATGTCTTGATGTATGGATTTGCATTCCGTTTTTTCGAGGTGGTTGAGGGTATTGAGAAGCATGTTTGAAGGCCCCTCGAGCTATGATATAGCATGCGAGAGGAGTACGAAGCGCACATGAGAAGTTGGCAAAATGCGCGG